TGGCATTGTGAATTTAAGATGGAATCCAAGAATATTTTATCAGTGAGAAATGGAAACATTTATGATTCAACTCTTCTGAGATTCAGTTAATGTATTTCCATCTATATTAGCGTCTACAAATAGCTATTCTGTTGAATCATTTCTTTTTGTAAATAACATACCATATTGGGAAATATTCATCACAGTTGGCTTAACCAAAGTATTTGCTCTCACCTAATTACTTTTGTCAAATGATTCCATAAGTATATCAATGTGGAAAAGTTATATTTTATATGACTATTTGCATCATTCCAGGGAAGGACCCTTGAATCCAATGTTCATGTGCTATTCCAGATACTATGATCCAAGCATACATAGTTATGATCAGAAGATAGAAATGTAAGTAAAACCCCATGTTGTCTAGCATTCTGCATCAGACAAGCAGCCATTTAGGAAACTTGTAAACAAAAGCAATAGCCTTCTTTCATAATTCTTCCCTAATAATGCTGCCTGTAATAAATATGTACACTACATATAATAATAAATAACCATCAAGGTTAATAATGCCAGTGAGACTAACATTCTACACCATAGAATTTTAGTAGACAAATAGTTATGATATAGACAAATAATTATGATACGTTTTCAATAATGGTTAACATTTCCTCTCTGTGTCACAGCTCAGTGTTGCATCTCGGACTAAATTGATGGATTTGTTTTGAAAGATATCCTTTAATGATTTTTCAAACAAGTAGTCCATGTCTATATACTCTTGGGCTGATAAATAATTTTTGAATCACATTATGGAGGTTATCAATAATATGGCTTAACTGAGGATCTTTTTATTCTGGAATTCTTTGATCCTACAATCAGTTAAAGATAGAATTACAATCGTGATTCCATTGAAAATGATGCTACATAGTGCCATTTTAATTCTCAAAAACAGTCTTGAAGTGTACCTAGAGAGGGCTATGGTTAGTCATCATACAGACCTGGGGTTTCATGCAACTGTCCGTCTTTTCAGTCCTTGCTTTTAATGAACAATAAATGTAGGTTTTTGACAATAGCCATACACTGTATTTCTTCCACAAGAACTTGTAGAGAGTGTTAGCAAAAAGAAATGTCAGAAATAAAAGGAAGTAGAGAAAGAGAGATATCAGAAAAATAAAATGGAATTTGAAAAAAGAAAAAAGTGTTCCAAAATCTAAGGGGCTGAAGAGGAGGTTCAACTATTTTTCAAAGCACCTGAAGGCAGGACAAGAAGCAATGGATGGAAAATAACCAAGGAGAGAACCAACCTAGAACTAAGGAGAAATTTCGTGACAATAAGGACAATCAGAGGAACAACTTGTCTTCAGAAGTTGTGGGTACTCCAACATTGGAGGTTTTTTTTTTTTTTAATGGACAACCATTTATCTGAAATAGTATAGGATATCCTGCTTGAGCAGATAGTTGGACAAGAAGACATCCAAGATCCTTTCTAACTCTGTTATTCTGTTAAAAAATTGTGGCTTCAATATCCATATATAGTTATATACTCTGTATATTTGTCTATATTTATCTATATATATTTATATTTCATTGCTGTTTTGCACTTCTGGTTAGATGCTAACTGCATTTCGTTGCCTATGTTCACGTGCAATGACAATAAAGTTGAATCTAATCTAATGTAATCTAATCTAAAGGTCTGTTCAACTTACTGTCCTGTAATTCTCAACAGTGCAAAATATGTCCACTTAGTTTAGAGAGTATGCACTTGAACCCAGCCTTCGATTAGTAATAAATTGCCCACTTAGTGTAGTTTATGCCATTCCTGAATCTCTGAACCACTAACAATACTACAACTGATCTTTGAATTAGTCCTGAACTATTTCTTTCCAAGTCATTAACATTATTAAAGTTAATCCTTTAATTATTGTCCCTTTATATCCAAAATAACTACTTATTACTGCTATTGTTGTTGTTTCTTCTTGTAGCATTAACTTTATTTATGCTGGTCTAATGAGCTTATTTTTCTACCTAGATATTCTTCAGAAAAGACAAAATGTTATGATATGTACAGAATAATCCTTGAGTAACAAGGATATGCACATGGAAACGTTTATGAGAGTAGTTATGAATAATTATTCAGCCACACACAGATACACTGAATTGAGTTAAAGTTTACTTTAAGAAATAGCACAGTCCAATAGACCATTTACTTAACATTAGAGAAGCAAAGACTTTTTATTGATAATTTGTTAGTGAGCTGGGACCTAAGAGTAAGATGTTAGATGTAATAACTTTCATTTAAAATTAAGGAAAAAATGGCAAAATGCCCCATTCTTAAGATCCTGTAATTGAATCAAATCTTGGAATTCAACAGATGACAAGTTCAAGGATGACCCTGTTTTACTAAAGCTGATTTGGAATGCATAAAGCCATTTGATTTTCAGTTTTCATGTGAACCATTTTAGTGCGGCAGGATTAATGAATGTATGAGAATGTGTCCTTGGATTACAATGCATTCCTACTGAATGAGAGTAAGAAATATGAGATATATTAAGAAGAAAACAAATGTAGCATTGTTAATTTCTTGCTATGTGGCTAAAATACTTGTAACCAAGTGTCCATAACATGATTTCAGTACTGGTTTATTTTCTCATATTTCTCCTATGTTTCCAGGTGCACTCATTGGAAACAGTTGTAAACAGTACATGATCTGCTGAGAAGCAAAAAGAAATATGAACTATCATGAAACTGTACTTGGTCTCCTATAAATGCTTCAAAAACCTCTATTCTGGAATGAACAAGATAATGAGTTTAAATTTAAATTAACGCATATTTTTAACATCAACAGAACTGATCTCTTTTTATGAGGAACAGTAGAAGCACTATAACCTGTATTGGCACTAATCGTCTTATTAATTTATAGTCTTGTTTGTTTGAAAACAATCAAATTGTGGAATTTTGTGATAAATTTAAGAAACTTCCCATCTATTTTATTAGGCAATTTATCTAATCTACATCTAATCATATAATAAGATAATACATTATGCAACACTAAAAGAAACTTTCACTTATTCCAAACAGCCACTTTCAGTATGTTTATATTTGAACTTTATATACATAAAAATCCCAAAATCCCTACCAAGAAAGAAGAAGAATCACTGAAGTTTTCTTCAATGCAGTTGAATGCAAAACAATGCAGTTTTGAGAAGGAAGAACCGAAAATGAAATTCTGTGGGAAATCTGGATTAACTCTCCCTGTATCTACTGATAATTGAGTAATTGAAATTAATTAACTAATTCAATGAACTGTTGGCAAGACCACCCCGGAGTAAATGAAAACTACTACCTTAAGTTTGTATTGAGTGGTAGGTGCACATGTGTATGTTTTGAATAATTATGTACTACTGATATCAAGTCAGTGCAAATTCTTAACAACTACACAGATATTTTTTCCTCCAATCTGGTCTTTTAGGTTTTCCCACATTGCACTCATTGTTGCTGTAACTGAGGGTATCCACCTTGCTGCTATTCGTCCTCTTTCTTTCTGCTTTTTTTCAGCATTAGAGCCTTCTCCAGTGAGCTGTACTTTCACATAATGTGTCTGAAGTAGATTAATTTGAGCCCAGTCATTTGTTCTTGAACAAGAACTCTGAATTAATTTGTTTGATCAGTTTGTTTTCTTGACTGTCTACAATATTCTCAAATGTCTTCTCCAACATCAAAAACATCAATACTGTTTCTATTCTATTCATCTTTCATAGACTGTCACAGGAATTATCATTACTTGTATGTTCATGGATGACATATCATGGCATCTGAATAAATTTTCCAAGGCCTTTTGGGTAACTCTACTAAATACTAGCTGGTGGTATATTCTCTGACTGCTTGTTCCTTTACTGTTGATAGTTGATGCTAAAACATAGATTCTACCCACTACTTCATTGTCAGCCTCATTAAGGCTGATTGTTTTATCTGTTTTTATTAGTTTGGTCTTCTTTATATTTAATTTTAGTCCCCTATTATCACTGTGTTCCTTAACACTTATTACTAAAGCTTGCAGTTCCTTTGCATTTTTGATTATCAGAGTAGTGTCACCAATAGAACACAGGTTATGAATGTTTCTTCCACCGATTCTAAAACCATGTACACCTTAAGCATGTATGTAAAATAAACAAGGAAGAATATAACTTCTTATCTGACTCCTTTACCAACTTTGAACCAGTCTATTTCACCATATTGAAAGCCATACATTGGCTGCTTGACCTGTACCTAGGTTTCACATAAGGACAATGTGATGTTCTAGATTTCCCATTTTTCTAAGCCCATTTCACAGCTTAATGTGAGGCACACAATCAAATCATATGCTTATTTTTTGTTTGTATTCTTGGGCTTTCTTGATTATACAGCATGTATAAGCACTGATATGTATCTGTGTATCAGCCATTTGTTTTATCTTTTTAAATGAAATAATGCCAATTCCCAACCTGCACAGTGCAATCTTGTGCAAGTTTATTGAGAAGCATATATTTATTGATTCTCGACTCTTGACAAATGTATCTTATCTTTTCTTTTATGTATACTGAGAGCATTTGCACCAAGACAAATTCCTTGTGTGTCCAATCACACTTGGCCAATGAAGTATTCTATTCTATTCTATTCTATTCTATTCTATTCTATTCTATTCTATTCTATTCAATGTCATGGTCAAAGACAAAAACAAATGTACTGAAAATAAGGAATCCCATGGAGAAACCAGAATCAAAGATACCAAAATTGCTAAACAACACAGGAGTCCAAAATATTAACATAATTATTAAGAATGCATGTTCCCCTGCCTTTTTGGGGGGAAACTCTTTCCTCAATGCTTGCAATATTCATTGGGGAATCATCAATTTACACTGCGCAATTTTTGTAGTCAATATATATGTTACCTTGTGTATAGTTACACTGCATATAGCTCTTGGTTTGTGAGAAGTCATAGTAGGCTAGTTTATGGACTCAGACCCTGTTACAACTTCTTCTGGGTTTTGTTCTCCAACCAGTCCAAGAATGGAAGGGAGTTGTGGTAGCAATAATGCTCTGCATGACCAAGACTAAAAAAAATTGCAATATTCCTTAGCTATACTTGCAAATGTCTGGAATTCAAGATTTAAGAACATCTGATATAGAGAAAAAAACATTTCTTCTTGAAAGTCTCAAGTGATGACTCTCCCACAACTTCTGAGGGCAAGCTGTTTCATTGGTTGAAAGAAAAAAAAATTTCCAGGTTAAATCTCTCCTTGTTCAGTTTCCATCCATTAATTCCTTGTCTGGCCTTCGGGTGCTTTAGGAAATAGCTTGACCCCTTCCTCTCTGTGGCAGCCCCTCAAATATTGGAAGACTGCTATCATGTCTCCCCTGGTCCTTCTCTTCACTAGACTAGCCATCCCCAGTTCCTGGAACTGTTCTTCATATGTTTTAGTCTCCAATTCCCTAATCATCCTGGTTGCTCTTCTCTGTACTTTTTCTAGAATTTCATCATCTTTTTTATAATGTGGTGACCAAAACTGGATGCTGTACTCTAGATGTGGTCTTACTAAGGCTTTATAGAGTGATATTAGTACTTTCCTTGATCTCGATTGTATCCCTCTGTTAATACAACTTAGGATTGCATTAGCTTTTATGGTGGCTGCTGCACACTGCTGGCTCATATTTATCTGGTTGTAAACTAAAACTCCAATATAATCTCACAGTTACTGCTATTGAGCCTGGTTTCACCTAGTCCATATGTGTACTTTTGGTTTTTCTTGCCTAAGTGTAGGACTTTACTTTTCTCTACATTGAATTTCATTTTTTTAGATACGGTCCAGTGTTCTAGTCTGTAAAGATCCATTTGGATCTTGAGCCTATCTTCTTGGTTGTTAGCTATTCCTGCCAGCTTAGTATCATCTGCAAATTTGGTAAGTTCCCCTTCTATTCCCTCATCTAAGTTGTTAATGAAGATACTGAAGAGTACTGTGCTAAAACAGAACCTTGCTTACTTCCCTCCATGTAGACAGACCCATTAAGGACTACTTGTTGAGTATGGTTTGTAAGTGAGTTTCGAGTCCATCTAGTGCTATCTGTTCCATTTTTTTCTAGCTTACCAAAAAGTAGGTTGTGGTCTACTTTGTCGAATGCCTTGCTGAAATCTAAATATATTATGTCCACAGTATTTCACTGTTCTATTAATTTAGTCACTATGTTGAAGAATGAAATAAGATTGTTTTGGCTTGATCTGTTTTTAACAAACCCATGCTGACTGCTAGTTATTACATTACTTGTTCCTAGTTCTGTTTTTTTATCATCTTTTCCAGTATTTTCCTGGGTATTGATGTTAGGCTGATTGGTCTATAGTTTCCTGGATCTGTTTTTTTTTCTTTTTTGAAGATGGGGACCACATCAGCTCTTTTCCAATCCTCTGGTAGTTCCCCGGTGCTCCAGGATTTTTGAAAGATATGGTGCAGTGGTTCTGAGATGACCTCTGCCAGCTCCTTTAAAACTCTGGGATATAATCCATCAGGCCTCGGTGATTTGTGTTCATCAAGATCAAACAGGTGGTACAAATGGGTGGAGGATAGAAATAAGAGCTGATGTAGGATTTCCGGTCTGCAGCGCTTCGGAGCAGGCAGGAATCCGCGACTGTGCGCGGTTTCTGCCTGTGTTCACTGCCCGAGTGCCCCGAGCCATTTGGCTTCGGGGCTAAGCCACCTCCGTAGAAGGTGGCGAAGACAGGGGGGGTCTGGCAGGGTCGAGAGATATTGCACCTCTTTTCCCTAGCCAGCGAAACCCCCTTTTCCAAAGGCAACTGAGCAGCGGTCAGCAATGGCCGCCACATAGAAGAGCTCAGCCAGAAAAAGAAAGTGCAGGAGGAGCTGTGAAGAATTGAAAGTGATCTTTGCTGACCGGGACAAGTAACAGTGAAAGTATCCTGGAATTTGAAACTTGCTAAAGAAACATCGTTTCCAGAATGTGTCAAGCGGTGAATGTAAATTAAAGGAAAAGCTTTTTTTTTTCTTCTTTTCACTCTCCTTCCGAATGTGACAGCGATAGAATCTTAAAAGAAATCGGAAAACCTGCATTGGAGGTATGGATTTCTGAACATTCAAAGGAAAATTGTTGCTGTAAGTGGGAAGGGAGAGGAAAAAAATTTGAGCAGAAGTTGAAAAAGGAGGAGATTGCCTAGAATTTTAAAGAGCTTTGAATATTAATACGGCTTCTAAAAGATATATCTTAATTGGAACTCTTTGATCAAACAGCAACCCCTGAAAGAGAAATGGAAGAAAGAAAAAAGTATTAAAAGAAATAGTTTATTTGGATTCTTTGGTGACTTTGGAACTTTTGGGAATTATTCTTGATTAAAAACACTTGGGTGGTTGTCTTGGAAAAAACTTTTCTCTTCACGATGGCTTTGCTTGTGGATGAACTAAAAATTGAATATCAAAAATATAAAAAAGAACAAGATGGAAAAGATACTTTGGGCACTCTTTTTCAATTTCTAGAAATGGCGGTATGCACTTATGAAAAATTGACTGCGCAGCAGGACGATTGGGACAACGAAGAAGCCATCTTTGATGAACAAATGGTTCTATTTGGGGAGGAGGAGAAAGAGGAAAAGAAAAAGGGGATTTTAAGGCTTGAAAAAACAACCAAAAAAGAGAAAAATGAGGTGAAAGGTGGATACAAGGTTAGAAAACAACAGAAAGGGGGAAAGCAGAAGAAGAAAAGGGAGGAGGAGAGACAAAGGGGTAAAAAGGGCAAGGAGAAGAATAAGCAAGAGAGAAAGGAGGGGATGAGAAGCCTTAATGGTGGGAAGCAAGATTTAAAGAAACAAAACTTATTTAGAGACAATGGGTAAATTTAATTGAAAAAAGGGATTCTGTAAGGTACATAAGATTGTGCTTTTATATGTGTATTTAGAATAAAATGCTTAAGATATAAAGGAGTATTAATATGTATGATTAGTTTCTTAATGGCATTGATAGTGGTTTTATATGCTTTTTCTTTGTTATTGTTGTGTTTTTTCCTTTCTCATAAAACTCATTGTGTAATTTTAGAATGTACTAAACAGAATCCCAATATAAGTTAAGTGTTATATTAAGTATTATTAAGCTAGGGGAAAGAGTTAAAGGCGTCACTCCAATAAGTGTACAGGAGAAATTTGTTTAAAGAGAAAAGATGAATGGATAGCTGGAAATAGAACAGACAAAGAATGATAAGTATTATGAATCGAACTGAGATGAGATAAATAAAATAAAATTAAGAAAGATAAAAGAGGGAAGAAGCTATATAGAAAATTGAAAATGGTAATAAGATATGGAATGGTATATAAAGTGAATATGATTTTTGAATTTGTGTCTGTGCAAAGAGTTTTAACCCGGGATCAAGCAACTTTCAGAAAAGATGTTTTATGTTTTTATGTTCTATGTTTTGTTTGTTTGTGTATTGTTTTTGAAAAGCAATAAAATTTTAATTAGTAAGAAATATAATTTGGATAATAGAATGAAAAGGAGAAGTTGGGATAAAATACGAAGTTGAACAGATAACGTAAATATATATATTACAATTTGGAACTATTTTGTATGTTCTATTGTTTTTTTCAGAAAAGATCTTTTATGTTATTATGCCTTGTTTGTTTGTGTATTGTTTTGTAAAACTAATAAAATTTGTCTTTAAAAAAAAGAAATAAGAGCTGATGTTTATGTATAAAAGGGGACGTATGTATTAATAATGACATGAACACTGTTAATGTGAACAGAGATTTGTATTTTTGTTTTTTAAAAATAAAAATATTTAAACACAAAAGATCAGACAGGTGTTCTCTTACTATTTTTTGCTTATTTTAACTTTTATTTCTGGTCTGTCTTTTACAGTTACATTTTTGGTGGGTTGAGCTATAGTTTCTTTTTGCAAAGAATGAGTTAAGCAGTTCTGCTTTCTCTCTGTTGCCTGTTACTTCCTTGCCATCTTCTTTCTTTAGTGGACCGACTGTTTCCTTGATTTTTTTCTAGTTATTTATATGTTGGAAGAAACTTTTTTATTATCTTTGACTTTTGTTGTAAGTTTTGTTCGTTCTGAGCCTTTGCTTTCCTGCCTTCATCTTTGCAGATTCTGGCTATCTGCTGATATTTTGCCTTAGTTGTATGTCCTTCTTTCCATTTTTTGTACTTGTCCTTTTTTTCTTTCAATTTGCCAGAGAGATCTTTGTGCAGCCATGCTGGTTTCTTCTTGGATGTCTTGTTTTTCTTTCTCAGTGGTATTGTGCTGGTCTGGGCTTCTATGATCATACTTTTCAGAGTTTCCCAAGATTCTTGAGTTGTTTTCCCCTTTAGGATTTTCATCTATGGAATCTTTCCCAAGTTCTCTCTGAGTTTATTAAAATCAGCTCTTTTAAAATCCAAGACTCTGGTGTCATTATGTTCTATTGCTTGTGTTTGTATTATGTTGAATTCTAGTATGACATGGTCACTCTCACCCCGCAGTTTCAACTCCCTCTATCACTTCTTCTCCATTTGTAAGAATTAAGTCCAGTATGGCTGTCCCTCTAGTTCCATCCTCTACCTTTTGGACAACAAAGTTGTCAACTAGTTTGTTAGGAACTTATTTGATTTCTCACTTGGTGCAGAATTAGTTTTCCAATTGATATCAGGATAATTGAAGTCCCCCATTACTATTGTTGTTTTATTATTTCCAAAGAATTTGATCAAATAGAACAATGAATGAAGACTGAAAGAGACAAAGAAAATACAGACCATTTTGATGGGAATAAAACATTATATTGGAAATGGATAAATAAGACTAACCAAGAAACATCTAACAGAGTGAAATTCATGTTGTGACTGCTGCTATCATCTGGTCACCTGGATTTTTGCAAATTTAATTGGGTATCCCTCATGTATGGAGAAAAAAAGACCCCCCCCCCAAAAGGTAAATAGATTTTGCATTAAAAATCCCTTCAAACTTTATAAATCCTTTTCCTCCCAAAAAAGGCTATCAATTCATACCCAGATCTTTGAATGATGCTATTATCTAATTTCCAAACTCTCTGAGTTTACAGAATTCAAACTTTTTCAAAAAGTGTCATTTAAAAAAAAATGTTTTATAATTAATTTGATATCATATTGATTACTAATAAACTCATTCTTAATTTGGACTGAGTTTTACCAATGTTGTGTAACATTGAAATATAAATTAATTATACATTTTTGTTATAATAGTTATTATTATGGTTTTAATATAACACAATAAATTAATTAATACACATTTCCCTAAGATAAGCTTGCCTTACCTATACAGACATATGCAATTTCACTATCTCTCTGGGTTTGTTGAAATGCTAAATGAAGAAAGTGAATTTAAAATGCAAGCTGGAATTAAAAATTGAAAAATAGGGCAAGCCATGAAAAAGGTCTCTACAACTAAATGGGCAATTGCTCATGTTCTGAAATTCAGCTGGATGGCATCCTTAGTTATCTTGTTAGTGATATGTTGGTTTAACTGGCAACATGCCATTTTCAGTACATATTTCACAGCTCTCTTCACTTAAGTTATATAAGTCAAGTTTAAATTTTCCTTCTCCAACCGTTGCTTTTTGTAAATGAAGATTTAATAATAAAAGCATATGTTAAAATAATAAAATAAATAAAGTACAAAAAAAATCAGATTATGAAGTTTACTAACAAGGATTTCAACATCTCCCTGCAAACAGCCTGTGTTCTATCATGCTTGAAAGTAGCCACTATTGTCCCAGTCCCGAAGAAAACAGCAATTAACTGCCTAAACAACTACAGGCCTACCGCATTAATGTCTGTAGTGATGAAATGCTTCAAAAGACTGGTTCTCCAACACCTTAGGACATGCATCCCATTGGACTTTGGCAAACATCAGTTTGCCTACAAGGGGAATAGGTCGACAGACAACGCCACAGCTACTGCCTTACATTCTGTAGTGAGCCAAATGGAGAAACCCGGAAACTATGTCAGGGTGCTTTTCATTGATTACAGCTTGGCCTTTAATACTATCCTGCCAAGCATCCTTATCAAAAAGCTGACTGACCTGGATTTTCCCTCTTCCATCTGCAACTGGATCAAAGACTTTCTGAGGGACCGGCCACAAACAGTGAGGGTTGGGTCTGTCACATCCATCACCCTGAAGCTTAGCAATGGATCCTCACAGGGCTGCGTGCTCAGTCCTTACCCATCCACTGTGATCATTAAGTTTGCAGATGATACCACCATATTGGGTCTCATTACAGTGGAGACAAAACAGCATAGTGGGGGGGGGGGAGGTTCAAAAATTAACCTCATGGTGCCCAGAAAACAACTTGCACCTGAACATCAGCAAGACAAAGGAGATGGTGTTAGACTTCCAAAAGAAGAGAGAGGAACCTGCCCCACTTCACATAGAGAGGGGTTTTGTGGAGAGAGTTTCCTCCTCTAAATTCCTGGGAGTCTACCTCAGCGAAGATCTCACCTGGAAAATCAACACAACCCATGTAGCCAGAAAGGCCCAACAGGGACTCCACTTCCTAGGGTCTTGCGAAAGAACAAAGTGGAACAACGACTGATGACCTCCTTTTACCGGTCCACTATAGAAAGCGTCCTCTCACATTGCATTATGGTATGGTATGCTGGCTTGACAGCCACAGATAGAAAGACACTACAGAGGGTGGTGAGCACAGCACAAAACATTGTAGGATGTCCCCTGATACCACTAGATGACATTGCTAGGACTCGCTGCCTTAGAAGAGTGAGGAAAATTCTCAGGGATGACTCACACCCTGATCAGCACTTCTTTACTCTCCTACTATCAGGTAGGAGATATAGAAGCATAGCCTGCCACACCAATAGGCTGAAGAACGGTTTCACCCCATGGGCTGTCAGACTCCTGAATGGAAAATAACTTCATGTCAACATAGACTTGTGGGGCCGGAGCACTGTGCAATAAGTTCACATGGTGCAATAAGATAGTATGTTTGTTAGTAGGATTCATTGGGTTAGGGATTTTTTTCTTTTTTGTCTTCACTGTGAGTTGTGTTGGGGGTAGGTGAACGAAGGGAGACTCAGCCAACCTCATTGTACATGTTGTACTCCAACAATAAAGGTTGATTTGATTTGATTTGTTGCTTTTACAACATAAGAAACTAAGGTGGGGGTCTTTTCATTTGCCATGCCCACATTCCTGCTGCTGGCTAGGCTGTCTCTTATTCAACCATTTCCCTGGCTGTAGCTATTTTCTCTGTTTTCCAAGGTCATTCCCACCCACCATTACAGCATGTTTTAGTTAAGATCAAAGCCCAATCTCTTTAACGTTCTATGTTCTCTGCAGCTGTGAAAGCCAATCGTATTTTCTTTCAAGAAACAATCATAAGTTATAAGCAAATTCTTCACTTTATTGGAGTTATCTGCAAAATCAAGACCTAGACAGTTGCACCATTTTGCCACCATTTAAATATATTCTGAGTTTTATGGATTGTATAACTTCAGTAATATAAACTACAAATCAATAAGTAACAACCACATAGAATCAATTGGTAGGGCTGCAACAAAGCAGAGATGACTTTCCACTTATTTGTACTTAACAGTTTATTTAATTTGGAATAAGGAAAAGTTATAGCAGAATCTCCATAAACTTTTTTTCAGAATGCAAAGAGCGGTAAAAAAAATCCCTTCATAATAAACTGTTTCAAATGTGACTTCCCCAAAAGCACTCTAAGTGGAAACCCTATCAAAGCATTCCCTGCTTGGAACATAAGACAAGGCATCAATCATAAAACTAAGCCCACCTTCTCACCTCCCTACCTAACCTCATATGTTACACTTATTGAAAGCTTCCCTACAGAAGTTGTATACTGTTTAGGCATAATATTAGACTATTAAACCTAAACCACTAATTGGACTTCATATTCTCTTTATTTCTGGTTGAATACCCTTGATTTGAAAATGAACTGAGTCTCACACCAGTACTTAGTTTTCTGTTTGAGATTTGGGGTTCATCCAAACCAGGCAGATACCGGTAATCCCTAGGGAGGGTCATTCTCCCTGCTAATAAAATACTGCAGTCTGAAAGATGACTTTCTGCAACAGATGTACTCTCTTGAGTGGGAAAAATTGCTAGATCCCACAACTTGATGATCAGGGGAAGCCCATTAGCTTCTAGATCCCAGGCGAAACCATATACAGATTCAGTGATGAAATCGCCTTTTATGCTTAACTTGAAACATTTAGGATTGAAAAGTTAAGCAGGAAATCTGAGAGAAAAAATAGATCTTTTGAGCCTTGTTACCAAGGCACACATCTGGTTGACAGGTGCATGTTCTCAGTATCAAGACTGCTGCACTCAAATCAATTATGCACCATATTTAATCCCTGTCATCAGGCCATGGTGTCTGCAATGAAAATGTTAGAGGAATATCCCAGCATTATGAAAGTATTAAGTTCAATATTATTTTGCAAATATTAAAAGATATTTTTAATCTTGGTAAGTTAAGCCATTTTATTATTCAGGGCTGAAATCTTAGGAGCTGTCCTTTAATATAGTCCTGTGGTTACAAACAACTCTGAAAGTAATGGATTACGTGGATTCTTTTCAGCCTAGTTTCAATCCTCGATATTTCAACAGAATTTACACTGATTTCTCTGATTGACCATTTATAGTGAAAGCTGTGTAAGGGGTAGACAAACTTGCTGATTTTGTTCAATTGATCAGCAGTTTGTTTTTGTTTTTTTTATAAAAGTTTTATTGATTTTAACAACAAATAAAAACACATAAAACATAACATAAGAACATATATATATATATAATATATATAATATACATAATATATATATATAATAGGATATATAATTGTTGATTGATAATATGAGTTATTACGTAACATAATTATTATGATGATGACTATGAAATAGATGCACAAAAAGGAGTGATAAACCAACCGATACACTGTCTGTAAATTTATGAAGAATTGATCAGCAGTTTTTGATACCATTATTTTGTACATCTGGTTCAATGATAAGCAACACAGTGGAGGCACACTGTTTTACATTGGTTTTCCCTTTTCCTAAATGAATAGCTACAGTTAGTGGTAGTAAGGGGGTGAGACACTGAGATCTAGGATTCTTTGCTGAGAGTTGTTATACATCTTTTATTTAGCACCTACCTGAAACTGCTTAGGAATATCATCAGCTTCCTCAGAATGATATATCATTAGATATCCAGCTGTATCTCAGTTCTGTGCTAAGTAGGAGATGCAGTTAAAGTTCTGTTCCACAACCTGGAAGCTATAAGGTTCTGGATAAAGATAAACAGGTTTAGACATAATCTCTGGAAAATGAAGGCCTGATTTCAGATATATTTTACCTTTGGCCTTCCCCTGTTTGTAATTGGATAGGCCTCCTTGGCTTACAGTTTTCAGTTTTCACCTAAAGGGCAAGTAAGCAGGACATCTGAACAGATCTATTTTGTGTACAATTGGGGTCTTTCCTGGATCAGGAAACCTTTATTCATAGTCACCTATGCCCTATGCCTTAGTCAATTCCAGTCTGAATTATTGCCTCCACAGAAGTAGTATCCTTGAAGTCAACGCCAAAACTTCAGAAGGTCCAGATTTCTATTAATCTAGTCCTCATTGTGCCACTTTCTAATTAATGCCTGACAACTGTTAATATATGAACACAAAGATAAAGTGCAATATGTCAACACATGTATGGTCAGTTGCCCTGATATTAAGCACATTTACTGTAGATAGATTTAAAATAATAAGACAAAAATGATTATCTATAATTATGAACATGCCTGGCCCTGAGTCATTCTTGTCCATCCTCCCCGGATTATTGGGCCTTGAACAAGCTCCACCTATAACAGTGAAAACAAAGAAATGGCTGCGGTTGCACACTAGACAATAAGTCATGAATCACAATGTTCATTTTCACATTATGAACTTGTCTAAAACAAAAACTGTATATTGGTTTCGCACAATTTGCTAAGGCATAATATGGTTTATTATGGCCTTGTAGTTTGTAAGCCAAGTGCAAAGACAGCCAATGTTGAGAGAGGGATTAAGATAATCCCTCTCTAGTTTCCCTCTCCCACTCAAACTTCAGGAAGAGAAATCTAATTGCTAAGTATTAGTTATCACCTTACACAATTTGTTTTAAAAAAGGAAGGAAATCTATCAAACCATCCTAAGCCATCCTAACCATCAGTAGGAAGGGTCTTAATGGGAGCATCATTTCGTAAAGTTCAGGGACACTCAGAGTGGTTTTGTAAAGGAATGGCTTTCTTCACCTTCTTTCTTCTCAATCCTGGCTGACAATGAAACCAGAATCCATTTTCTCACACCACAAGATATCCATTACACAAGAGCTTTCTTCTGGCGCCAAGAAGTATTTTAAGAGTTTTCTTGCTTATTCCACAGGGAAAGAGTGCTGAACATTAGGGATACCTGAGAAAAACTGGCCATTTGTAATTAGGGTAGAAAGAGAACTCTCAGCAATTAATATATCTCAGGAGGACAGCTATGTTCATCTATAGTAGCCGAAAATGAGGAGTCAGGTAGCACCTTTTAGACTAAATTTTAGACTATATTTTATTAAAAGACACACACTTTGTGAGCTACAGCTCATTTCATCATAAGTCTGGATTGACCTGTGAACAATTTAACAACTTCCCGCCATTTTAGGGAGTTCAGCTTGTGATGTTGGGCACTGTAATTAGTGGTCTACATAGTTGCCCAGCCATGAAATAATACTTAAGCTATTGGGTATGCACAAGCTCACTAGTAGTTAATTTAAAATAATTTACTTTCTGAGTTAATTAATATATTTGATCACAAATTAAACATATGAGGTGAGTTCATACACGCTGTTGAATGTATTATAAAAATACAGACATTATATTTGCCATTCTTACTTGGCATAATAATTGCCATTCTTTAAGCTATTCTTCCCAACAAAGTTTATCAAAGAGGTCTTGAAACAAAGCATAATGATCTCTGCCACTGCATTTGGTAGGGGTTGACTTGTAGGTTGGCAAATTCTTGTCTCTCTCTAAATAAAACAGTAACTTGGTAATGTATAGCCATAGCTGAACAATCGGTGCCAGTTACCCCTTTCCTGTTTCTTCCATATTTAAGGTTTGCAATTATAATATCTGACTTTAAGGAAAAATCCTGGAGAACAAAATTGTGTGCATTATGCTACTCTTGGCTAAGGCTAGAGTCATTCGCCCAATTCACAACCTTCTTTTATCAAAGTCAAACTACTACCATGCTTAGGGACTGTGTGAATAAAGGATGGATTAATGCACTACATATAGTCAATGCCTATATATGGCTTTCAAGGTTTTTTTTTCTCTCTCTTTTTTTCTCTCTCTTCCTCTTTCCTCTCCTCCCTTCTCTCTCTCCTTATTTCTTGAGAGATTTAAGGAATTTTTTCTGACCTGTCTTGACATTGTCGCAGTTGTGATTTTAACAACTAAAATCTTGCCCCTATTGAGAGGATCTACACTGTTATAGCTGATCTAAAAACATTTAGAAACATTGGTGGAATCAGAGTATTTTTCTCATAGTCAACTGTCTATGTACTGGGTTATTACATTGACTGAAGAATTCCAGGAACTTCCAGGAAGGCTAGGTAAAGAAGTACAAAAATTACTAAACCTTCATGCCTTGGGAATTCACATGTATTTCTGCCAAAGTGACATAAAACTTATTCAGGACTAAGTGTCTGGGAGTTGGTCCAACCACCCCTACCTAAGCTTGTTTGCCATGTGCCCCCAAGGTAAGTGCCAGTTTTCTACAGGTTGTTTTTTTTTTTTTTGCTGTACTCAGACTAGAAGCCTCAATGTGTACCAAATCAAAACAATTTATCTGTATTGAGGAATTAGGCTGTACTTCCCAACTGGGGAAGTGCTGAAGCTTAACTCTAATCCTCCACAGCCAGAATGGCCAATGGTATGTCTGGGATAAGTGAGACAGGTTATACTCAAAGCACATGGAGGACAGCAGTTTGAAAAGAAGGTAGGGTTGTGCTCAAGGACTTCAGAGTAGATTTTTTTTCTTCCACACATCAAACACTGAAAAAAAGGGTAATGAATTCCATTTTATCCATATGAATGGGAAAATTAAGGTAGAGAGAGACTACATTAACTGAATCCTGATTAAAGTCCTGGGAAAGTCCCCAAGCCAATCTTTGCTTTATGAGGGGAAGTATCTATCATCAGTCTTATCCTTGGTTATCTGAGCCAAAGTTCATTCTATTAACCCAAGTTACCAAAGTACTTCAAAACAGACTGGCTATATCTTCCAACCCCTCGTTTTTATGAAAGCAGATAGCATATTGATAGAAGAATAAGCAAATTAAATAGCTGAAATGGGAAAACCATTATGGAAGAGAGAATGGAACAAAATACCATGAAACAGAAACTTGGCTGGCTGGCACCTTTCCTTGGGACTGTTTTGCCACTTCCTCCCCCCTGTTGCAAGCTATAACTTAGGGAGAAAGAGGAGGAAAGATTTCTACCTGACATCTCAGGTGGCTGGATTGGGGTCTTCATTGGAACTATTATCAAATGTGGAAGCTGGTGTTTGAATTTAGAAAGGCCCAAATGGTCCATGACCATTTTGGAAGGATCACTCTTGTCAATGACCAGTTCCATTTCCTATCATTTTAAAGGACAGGAGGGGCCATACTCTCCCTATCCTTGTTCCCTCCCTCTCTCTCTCTCCCCCCCCCATGTGTGTGTGTGTGTCTCCCTTCCTCCTCCCTTGCAGGAAGCAAAGCCTTTAGATTTTCTCTGCCATCCAACAAATTTTAAATTTTATTTTAAGAAGACTAGTTAGACCTCACATACTTTCCTTGTTTGTCTATTCCCTGCCTTTTAGGGCATTACAAGCTGGGCTTCATATTCTCATATCAGATCGCTCACAGGAGGTAGTAAAAAGGGCAGTGAATGTGTATGTAAATGAATAAGTGTAAACGAATAAGTACAAGTGCGTATGTGTGAGTATTCAAGAACAGGATTTAAAACCACCCTCCTCTTTCCTTCCCATGCATTTTGTGAAGAAGCAGCACGGCTACATCTGTATCAACAAGTCAAAAAGGACCGTGGATATGTCTCCTCTTTCCTCTCCTCTCCTTTCCTCTCCTCTCCTCTCCTCCTACACACTCTCCTTTCCCCCCTCCTTTCGTTTCACTTTGCAGATTTACCTCTGCCTCCGGAACATTCCCCCCTTGATTCGCTTGCAGCCTCTTCTCTTTCCTTCCCGCTGGCGCTCGGAGCTGCTGCTCTCCCTCCCTCCGCTTCACCGACGCCCCCCTTCCAAGCCAAAATGAGCGTTGCGCGGGGGTGGGGGAGGTCGTAGGGAGGAAGCTCCTTAGATACGCTAGGTCGAGGGTGAACTTGAGATGATACGGGGCCGCTCCTTTTCCCGAGCAGCTGCTTGGCTGCGTCTGCCAGCGGTAGCCACGGATCGCCCGGTCACCTTTCCTCACCCCAGCTCTCTAGCCAGCTCGCGTGAAGGGGCGCCAGGAAGCAAAGCTGGCGAGAAAGTGGTACCAACGCTAAGCTGGTGGGAAGATGAGCGGGTGGAAGGAGAGGCTTGCAGAGGCCCGTCGTTATTCACCTGCTATGCCCATCAGTCTAAGCCTCCCCCCCGCTTTCAAAATACATCCGTATTTCCAGGGGGATCGTTCCTGGGAAACACCCCTGGTGGCTTCTCTGCCACAGTTCCAGCTTGGCTCTATTGTGTGAGTCCCAATGTATTCAATAAATAACCCGTGGCTTAATGAAGACACGTACATCCACGAACCAAACAGCAGTCTTGTTCCCTCAGTCCAGAAAATTGGGTCACTCGGGCATTAGCCAGATTTCAGTTAAACATGCCCAAAAGGTGCGTCCCACGAAGCCAGCCATTGTGAGTGCCCTTCTTTCTTCGGGAACACATTCGCTCTCCTCCAAGGAGAGTCTCGTGAGGATGGTCCGATCCTTCTCATCCACGTTTATAATGGAATGGAATGGCATGGGTGCCCATGAGCCAAGCTGCCTAGGACCGAGGTAACAGAGCGCCCAGGGCTTTGGTGACGGGACACGGAGCACTTCAGACGTGAAAAGAGGGATCTAGTTTCAGTAGAACTGCCCCCCCCCCACACGGTTGGTTCCACAGCTCGGGACCGCGTTCTAGGAGTCTCACATTTTGCTTCCTAAATTAGAAAGATATGCTGCTGGATTTCCACAGGACTGCGATAAACCCACTGAATTCAGTTCCCTTTATTTCCAGGGGAACGTGCATGAAATGGAATTGCTAGAAGACCGATCTCTTAAAATCCTGGGCGGAACCAGATAGGACAAGCTACAATATATGGAGAGATGAACTGTGAGGGTCAACAGGACGTTCCTTATTCCCAATATTAGTTTCCACCGAAATATTGGTTTTCTCAAAAACTTGTTTTTCAAGTTTCACCCCCCCCCAAAAAAACCCAATGTCATCTTAGATCTAAGCTTAGCCTCGATCCGTTCTATGTAAGTAGGAAGAGTGAAATCGGCAACCCGTTTTGTTTTTGTTTTTGGGGGGTTTTTGCAAAAGGAACATGCGAATAAAATGGAATTTCACATTAGGTAAGTAAGTCTGGGGGATCAAGATTAGCTTTTTATATTATTGCGATGCTTGAAAATCATCCATTGCAATTGATTTCCAATATGAGACTCCATGACATTGCAGTGAAGGGCTACGTGGAATTAAATCTTCGCTGAAAACTCTCGTTTTGAATCCAGGTCTATGTGAAAATAGCCAGGAACAAGACCCACATTAAACGTTGCGAGATCTTCTGCAACTTTTTCGATTCAGACAAATCCATTAAGAAACATTTTCGGGAGGGCAGTTTTGGCAGCGCCAACACTTCAATAACTTTTTCTCTTGAGAGTTCCCTGCCATCCTGCAGGGGATTCTGAAAACTTTTTCAGCACCTTGGATATTTGGTTCTTGCACTTGTCCTTCCTGCTGATGTTTTTGATTGTTTCTTTGTTTTTTGAGGTTATTGTTCTAATAGTTTTACAATTTTGTTCAGTTGTGGAAAACAAGGCACAACTATATGGAAATAAATGAATACATATGGATACATACATACATTTTTTACAAAGAACAGTGTTGAAACTGCCACTGATGAATTTCAGAGACTGACAGTTCAGTTTCCAGTCTCTGAAATTTAATTTCAGAAAATAAACTGGATTGCCTTGAATTTACCTTGCAAATGTGTTACATTAAGCAGCTGCTGAAGCCCATATTTTAAAATATGGTTTAAAGTTTAAATTACGTACAGTATTAAGAAATGTTGGCCAGGTGGAATAGTAGTGAAGTCAGGCTCAAAGTAAAGGTTGTTAAAAGTATTCTTGGAATGAATGGCTCTTATTTAGAAGTAAAGTGTTTGTTTCCATCTAAGTGAATGCAGATCAATTATAGATCACCTGGGTTATATGCAATCACTAAAAAGTTAATTATATCACTGATTTCCTTGGGGTTTTCTTTTAAGCACTATTCTGTGTGCCTACTCCCTTATTTTTAAAGGCTTTCACACAAAGCCCATTTTATTTAATAAAGTTTAATACATTTAAGACCAGTTCCCACACTCTTGGAAATCTGCAAAGTGGCAATAAAAACGATTGAGTTAAATTGCATGTCAAGGGTTCTACTTCTTTTTCACCAGCTTCTTGATAATTTTATTTATTTATTGCCTTGCGCATTTCTTTCCTTTTATTATTTCCAGCCTGCCAATATCCATAACATGCAAATCTGACTTTAAAAACTAGCCTCCATGTACTTTAGCTACAGGTTAGGTTCATTTTGGTTTTTTAAAAAATCAGACGTTGATTTTAAAGAATCTAATTTCAGATTAATTTATGATATCAATGAAATTTAACATTGTTTCTCCAAAAGTCGCTCCTGTCCACAGTAGGAAGGAGTTCAAAGAATTCATTCCGGTTCTAACAGATGTTATGCTGATCCAAAGAAGAGCGTGAGGGATTTTCCGCCAGCCCACTGCCTCCAGTTCTCAATGCAAGCCCTAGATCCAGTCGATTCTAGACGTGGCTAAAGGCTGCAACTTCTAGAATGACTTTGGAATCTCCGGCACCAACACATTCCAAACACATTTCCCTTGATTTCCAAAATCTTTAGGAAGGAAATCAAATCCGACTAAAGGAAAAAAAAACAAAAAGATCCGACGTCGCAGGAAACAGCAGGACAGGACCAGACAGATCGGTCCACCGACTTCTAACACCACAAGGCTCAAACTTGGGAGTGGGAGATCCGTCCACTTCAAATCATCTCGGGAGCGGCGCCCTCCAGCGTCATTTGCTCCTATGTAATTGAATTTGCTAAATAATGGGATTGCTTCTAGTTCGGTTTGATCACGGTGGCATCCTCCCTCTTCGCTTTGACCTGGTCGCCCACTAGATTGGGCTCCCATCTAAATTTCAGAGGCTCAGCCAGTAGACCAGAGGTCTCCAAACTTGGCAACTTTAAGACTTGTTGGACTTCAACTCGTAGAGTAGAGTAGAGTAGAGTAGAGTAGAGTAGAGTAGAGTAGAGTAGA